GGGCTGTTGTCTGCTATACCTTCGGACTCCTGGGGGCCCTCGCCGGCCCCGGGGGCCGTCGGAGTCAGAGAATTGCATGTCGAATGAAAAGCAGGCCCCAGGGAAAGGGTCGGGACTCCCAGGGGCCCCGCACTGGAAAATCCGGACGCGGCAGGTCTTGGAAGGGAACGAGGACTGGGGGTGGAGATCCCGTCGTCGGGGGGAAGGCGGGGGGGGAGTTTTCGTCGTCGCCCAGGACGTCAGGGCAAAGGGGTCCGCTCGAAAATGATGTCACGTGCGTTTTTTCGGCATGCTCTTGAGAGAAGTGGCAGGGACACGTGATGTTGCGTTGTGTGTCCCGCCTCCTCCCCCACCACGGGCACAGCGCGCAGCATCTCGCTCTCTTCCCAGCGGGAGCGCGCTTGCTCCCCAGCGTTCTCGCCCTCGTCCAAGGAGGGCCGCCCCGCGCTGGGCCGGAACGCAAGCCGCATCCGCATCCGCACTTGAGGGGGGAGGGGGGGGGAAGTTGGGCGAGGAGAGCGCACGGGGAATGAGCGTCCCAGCGACGGCGAGGGGTCGGCGCGCTCGAGTTCGGCGCGGGGGATAAAATCAACACACAAGCTCGACGCGGGGGATGGGTGCAGAAGGTGAGTTTCTGTTCCTCCCCACGGTGCCGTCGGACGGGGCCAGGGCGAGGACAGGTCCGTTCCAGGGCGTTCCGGAACGCTTTCAGAGCGGTACGGGACGCTCTGAGAAGGCCGCGGCGCCCGAGACACCCTCCAGAGCCGCCAGATTTCTGAAGATTTTCGATTTATCCGCACCCGATGTATATCCTCGTCTTGGCTTCGCTTGAAGGGGGTTAAAAGAGTTAGTTCACCCAGTTGTCAGAGATTTGTTCTCGCCTCGGGGTGCGTCTCTTGAGTCGGGCATGTCCCTCTACAGGATAATATTCAAGAATAGTCAAATTACACCAGAGGAAAATCCTATCAGCGGATGGTTTGCAATTCGGGATATGGATATTGAGATCGATTGTGAGACCGATAGTGGGATCTATAGTAACGACGATAGTAAGGCCGATCGTGAGACAGATCGTGAAGGCGATTCAGTGAGACCGATAGTGAGATTGCCCGTGCAATCTAAAGTGGGATCGATGGTGAGATCAATAGAGACGTGGGTAGTGATATCGATGGTGAGACCGATCGATAAGGAGATCGACCAAGAACCTGGGCACCCAGAAGCCCGGGAACCCCGCCGTCCACCGAAATCGGTCTGGAACCAGCAACCAGGAACCCGGGAACCCGGGGTCCAGGAACCCGGGAACCCGGGAACCCGCCCGCTTACCGAAGTCGGCCCGGAATTTTCGCCAAATTCTTCAACATCCGCTAGCACCTTTCAGTGCAAGCACGGATTGGGGATAAATCATGTGGGGACGATTTTTCTATCATTTTTGGAATATTGAATATTTTTGACCACTTTTATTTTTCCTCCCAAATCCGCCTGTAGGAGGACGTTCCCAACATCATGCTCCCAGCAGCTGCGCCCCGTTGGGGAAGTTTTCTCCAGGGATGCCCGGGGATCGCCCCGAAAGGCCGCCAGAGGCCCGAGCTGCTTGACCAAAGAACCACCAGGCGTCGAAGAGGGTGGTAGGGACCAGGGGACGCGCGAGGGGATAACTATCATGGTCCTTCTTATTATCACTTGTTGCTTGTATTGTTAGTGCTATTGTTGTTGATATCCGCATTACGAACGACTTGTATCATTGGTAGCATTATGACGTATGATTATGTATATTCGTAGTATGATGTGTACTATTGCTCGTATTCGTAGCATTGTTATTCATATACGTGTTGTCATGTTCATCCTCAGCATTTCCTTATCCGTATGAGTAATAGTACTACTAGTACTGATTGTGCTGTCGTCATTGGTGGTAGTAGTAGTAGTAGTAGTAGTAGTAGTAGTAGTAGTAGTAGTAGTAGTAGTAGTAGTAGTAGTAGTAGTAGTAGTGCTAGTAGTAGTAGTAGCAGCAGCAGCAGCAGCAGCAGCAGTTGTAGTAGCAGTAGTCGTAGTAGTAGTAGTAGTAGTAGTAGTACGTAGTAGTAGTAGTCAGTAGTTAGTAGTAGTAGTAGTAGTAGTAGTAGTAAGTAGTGTAGTAGTAGTAGTAGTAGTAGTAGTAGTAGTAGTAGTAGTAGTAAGTAGTAGTAGTAGTAGTAGTTAGTAGCAGCAGTAGTAGTAACAGACGTAGTAGTAGTAGTAGTAGCAGCAGCAGCAGCAGTAGTAGTAGTAGTAGTAGTTATAGTAGTAGTAGTAGTAGTGGTAGTAATAGTAGCAGTAGTAGCAGTAGTAGTAGTAGTAGTAGTAGTAGTAGTAGTAGTAGTAGTAGTAGTAGTAGTAGTAATAGTATTAGTGCCCGTCTTAGCCTTATTACTAGCATTAGGAGTGCCATTAGTATGATTACTCTGTGTTTTGCGAGTATGAGAGTATTTCTTCTTCGTCTTATCAGTAGTCTTATTAATTGTTGTCTTATTATTGGTAGTATTAATTTTATGTTTGGTATTACTATTACTGGTATTATTAGCATTCGTATTAGTAATAGTATTATTACGAGTATTAGTATCAATATTATTATTATTATTACTACTACTATTATTATTAGTAGTAGCATTAGTATTACTAGTATTATTATTATTATTATTATTACTATTTGGGCTCCCCCTGTGGCCCCCGGGGGCCCGCGCCGCCCGGGGCAGAGCGACGCGCCGCGGCAAACCCCAGAGCCACCACCTCGGAAATCTGCCAATTTGCACTGTCCCAGGCTGCCCGGCGGGGTGCTCCCAGGCTGCCCGGGCTACCCGGTGCTCCCAGTGCAGCACAGGCTCCCAGTGCTCCCACAGGCTCCTCCAGCGCCCCCCAGGCTCCCAGTGCTCCCAGGCTGCCCGTGCTCCCAGTACAGTAGAGGCTACCCAGTGCTCCCAGGCTGCTCCAGTGCCCCCAGGCCCCAAGTGCTCTTGGCACAGCACCCTGCTCCCAATCTACGAACCTGCACTGACCCAGGCTGCCCAGCAGGGTGCTCCCCCTCTGATTCGGGCTACAGTTGGGGCCCATGCCAAAAAACGCCCTGCTCGCCTCCAGGGTGCCCTGGGCGTCTTGGGGTTCGATGGTTTTGCGATGGAGAGCGCGACGTCCCCACGCCAAAAGTCCATGGACGCCCTGGGATCTCAGGATTGGGTTTCTTGTGGACGGTTTCTTGTGGAAGGGCCCCTACTGTAGCGGGGTGCTCCCCCTTTGGTTCGGGCTATTTGCTGCACGCCAAGACCGGCTTGTCCACCCCCCTCCCTCGTCCGCGCACACGCCTCGGACCATGATGCAGCCCTTCTCCTCCTCCGACCCTGAGACCGACGCTGCGAGACAGAAAACACAGCACCGCGAAAAGTCGCAACAGGAGCCCTCGACGTCATCTGTCCGCTGCATGTTTGGAGCCGGATCGGTCAGAGACGGCCCTGGACCCGAAACGGGCCGAAAACGCCTGGCGCGAAAGAAGATCGCAGCGCCCAGATCTCAGGGCTCACCGCACCCCAGGGTGCCTTCTGAGCCCATTCGGCGTCTGAGCCCAGCCGAACGGGCTCAGTTCCGACAGGGTCGTGGGAATTAAGCCCGCTTAGTTGCCGAATGGCCCCGATCTTGAGTCCGTTTGGCGGCCGAACGGCTCGTGCGGGCGGGACACGTCGTCGTCCTCGTCGTCCTCGTCATCGTTCTCGTTGTCGCCCTCGTCGTCTTCCTCGTCTTCCTGCTCGTCGTCGTCCTCGTCGACGTGGTCTTCATCGTCGTTGTCGTCCTTGTTGTCATCACCGCGGTCTTCGTCGGCGTCGGCATCGTCGTCGGCGTCGTCGGCGTCGTCGCAGACGCCGAACGGGCTCGGGAGGGAACCCCAGAGATCCAACGCATTGAAAAAACCAAGACGGAGGTGATTCTCAAATCTCGGCCTCTGGAGGACCTCGCCGGGCCCCGGGACCGTCGAAGAACTCAGGATGGAAAACTGGTCTTGGGGAACGGGTCGAGACTTCCCGGGGGGCCCCACATTGAAAAAATCACGACATCGGATCTCTGGGGAGGGGGGGGGGGCGAGCCTGCGAGAGTGTTTTTTGGGGGGTTCTGGCCATGAGCTGGCTTGTTGGGCCCGGCGTCTCCCGGGGCGTTGTCGATCTTCGACCCAGGAACGGTACGGTGCATATTTTATCGGTTTGAAGAGCCAACGAAAATATGCACCGTACCGCGTTGGAGCGAGGCCTGAAGGGAATTCAAACATGGTACGGTGCATAAGCGCCGTTCTCGTACCACCACCACCCCTCTCTCCCCCAGATAACCTGACTCTGTCGGTGGTGCAGGTCCGAAGGCAGTGCGTACCAGCACTGCGCACTCCCTGCGTGGGGCTGCCCAACGCGAAGAGGTTAGGGCATTGGTCAACACCTTCCGCCCCCCCCTCCCCCCACCGGATAACCCGGGTTACCGCTGGTACAAACAGAAACAGTATCGCATCGGAAGGCTCAGAAGGCCTCCTTCCGAGAAGCTTCCCGAGCTCTCTTCGAAGGCAGAGGCGGCTTCTCAGAAGGCCGTCGAGGGCTGCCGAGAAGCCCCGCCGTCCTTTGAGGAGGCCTGCCCCCTCCTTGTCCCCCTAATTGCTCCTGCTCCCCCCCCCCCTCCCTGCCCGCCTCCTTCTCCCTCATCCTCTCTCTTGCCCTCCTGATTCTCCCCTCCTCGCCCCTCCTTGCCCTCCCTCTTCCTCTGCGAGTGGGTCTTCCTCCACACTTTCTTCAACCTTGCCCTCTCCGCCATCGTGGCGCGAGGGCGCCTCGGCGCAGTCCGTCGGGCACGCGCCAGCTCGGCCGGCGGGAGACGCTCGAGAGGCGCTGCGCCTCTCCTTGCCCTCCTTAACCTCCTCCTCCTCTTTGCCCTCTTCGAAGGCAGAGGCGGCTTCTCAGAAGGCCGTAGAGGTGCATAGCCTATCGGACCTTCGGGGCACCCCGCAGGGCCTGGGGCGCGCCGGCGCCCCCGCCGAGGCGCAGCTCGCCGGCCCGTGGCCGCGGGACATCTTCTGCGGCAGGCCGGCGGCGGGCCCCCCAAAGGGCGGCGGCGAGCCCGCAGAGGGCGCGGGCGGCGCCGGGGTGCGGAGGGGAGCGGCGGGGAGGGCGGGGGGAGGGGAGGGCGGGGGAGGGCCCCTCCTCCTCCTCCTCCTCCTCCTCCTCCTCCTCCTCCCTCCTCCTCCTCCTCCTCCTCCTCCCTCCTCCTCCTCCTCCTCCTGCTTCCTCCTCCTCTCCTACTCCTCTCCCCTCCGCTCCCTCCTCCTCCTCCTCCTCCTCCTCCTCCTCCTCCTCCTCCTCCTCCTCCTCCTCCTCCTCCTCCCCAGCGTTGCTCGTCGTCGTCGTCGTCAGAGGGTGCGGGTTGCGCTGGGGTGTGGTTTGCGATGCCGTGGATCACCACCCAATCACACGGATGTCTCCCAACGGGGCATTTCCTTCAGTGGCAGTGAATCTTTGCAGGGGCCTATGAAGAAGCAGCTTGAAGGGAGGGTGCATAATAATATCTCTGATGAGTCTTGGGTTTGCACTGGTCCTCCTTCTCCTCCTCCTCCTCGTCCTCCTCCTCCGCCTCCTCCTCCTCCTCCGCTTCATCCTCCAGTCTTGTTCCTTATAAATAACTTCTCCCTGTCGCACCCTGGGGCCAGTTTTTAGGGCGGGCCGAGCGTTTCGCCTGAGACTTCCTTATCAATTATGACTCTGAAGTTTAAAATGTGGCTCTCGCTTTCGCGCGGCGAACATTCGTTTAAAACACGTGGAAGAGCTTCACGGATTGAGGGCGGATCGTTTTCAAATTGTGGTTCTCGCCTTAGCGCGGCGCACGTTCGTTTTAGAAAATTGCAAGAGCTTCACGGATTGATGGCGGGTCGTTTTCAAATGTTGTTCTCGCTTTAGCGCGGCGCAACTTCGCGTTAAAAGATGTGCAAAAACTTCACGGATTGAGGGCGAGTGGTTTCAACGTGTGGTTATCGCGTCAGCGCGGCGCACACTCGTTTGAAAGATTTGCAAGAGCTCCACGGATGAAGGGCGAGCGGTGTTCAAAAGATTGTTTTCGCGTTAGCGCCGCGCACATTCGTTTTCAAAACTCGCAAGAGCTTCACGGATTTAGGGCGGTTCCTTTTCAACATGCGGTTCTCGCCTTAGCGCCGCGTACATTCGATCACAATCTATTCAGCAGTTTCACGGATTGCATCATCAACGCACCAGAAATGATGATGTAGAAGGATTCAAGATCATGCGGGTGCAACAGTCACGTTGATTCTCTGTGTTGAAATCCTAGGAATGGCTTTCTGGCAAGATTCAGGATCGGCAAGACGCAACAGTCAGGTTGACCCGTGGCGTTGGAATCCCGAGAACAATGTTTGGGCATGCTTCAGGGTCTTCAAACAAGTGTCTTCCAACGAGGCAGTTCCACCATTGGAAATGAACCGTTGTAGGGGCCTATGAAGAGAGAGCTTGGAGGGATGGTTTATTCCAACATTGTTGATGACTCTTGGGTTTACACTAGTCCTCCTCCCCCTCCTCGTCCTCCTCCACCTCCTCCTCCTCCACACGAGGCCCCCATCGTAGTGACCGCCATCTCCTCTCCCTCTTCCTCCTCATACACCTCCTCCTCCTCCACCCTCCACCACCTCCTCCTCCACCTCCTCTCCTCCTCTTTCTCCTCCTCCTCCTCCTCGTCCTCCTCCTCCTCCTCCTCCTCATCCTCCTCCTCCTTCACCGCGTGCTCCTCCTCCTCCGCCTCCTCAAGCACCACGTGCTGCTCCGCCTCCTCCTCTTCCTCCTCCTCCTCCTCCTCCTCCTCCTCCTCCTCCTCCTCCTCCTCCTCCTTCTCCTCCTCCTCCTCCTCCTCCTCCTCCTCCTCCTCCTCCTCCTCCTCCTCCTCTCCTCCTCCTCTCTCCTCCCTCCTCCTCCTCCTCCTCCTCCTCCTCCTCCTCCTCCTCCTCCCTCTTCCTCCGGCTCCCGCCAGGGGGCGGAGGCCGCCGCGGGCGGCCTGGCGACCGCCGGCGCGCTCCCCGAGCCCTTCGCCGTCGCGGTCGGACGTGGAGGCGGCGCTGGACGGCCTGCGCACGCCGCCCGGCGCGGCGGCCGAGGGGAGACGACCGGAGCAGGCCGCGAAGGAACAAACACACAAAACATACAAAAACACACACAGACACACACAGACACACACACACACACACACACACACACACACACACACACACACACACAAAACACACACTGTGGGAAAAAAACACACACACACACACACACACACACACACACACACACAAAACACACTGTGGGAATAAACACACTGTGGGAAAAAGCACACTGTGGGAAAACACACACACACACACACGGAAAAAACACACGGCTTGCGCACGCCGCCCGGCGCGGCGGCCGAGGGGAGACGACCGGAGCAGGCCGCGAAGGTCTAGGCCTCCCAGATGGGGTCCGAGTAGATGGGGTCGGAGGATCGCGCCGCATCGCCGATGCATCAACGATGCGGCTCGATGCGGAGTCCGTGTCTCTCCACGCCGACGCCGCGGATGTATCGTCGGCGTCGCCAGAGCATGGCCGATGCATCGGCGATACATCACCGATGTATTGGCGATGCGGCGCGATCCTTCGACCCCATGCACTCGGACCCCATCTAGGAGGCCTCTAGAAGGGCGGGGGGGAACGACTGGTCTGGACGCCCGAAATGTCAGAGGAGGCAGAGGTACCCATACCCCTATGCCCTTCCCCCGTTTTCCCCCTTGTGGGCCGCCTGGGAGGCCCTCGTCGCCACCGCTGGATTCGCTTCGAAGTCCTGGTCAGAACGCACCCCGGGAGAGGTCCGGGGAGTCGCGGTATCGGTACCTTCCGGTTTCCCTCAAATGTCGCCTCGCCGTTTGTTCTGACGCGCGGCACCACGTTTTGGGGAGGGCGCCTGGGCCTCTTGGTCGGGGGAGCGTAAGACCCGGGTTTGCCGGGACTCGGGTTCGCCATCGTTTTTTGACGACCGCGCCTCGGATTTTGACGAGGAGGAGGTTCGTGGGATGTCTGCAGCGGGAGGCCTCGTCAAAATGCAGGCTCGGCCTCGTCATTTTTTTGACGACCTCGTCGGGGATTTCCGAGTCCCCTGTACCCAGGTCTTACGTCCCCTTGACTTGGGCACAAACTCCGCTTCGGACGCAAGGTCTGCAGTGAGATTTGCCGCAGCTCCGACTTTGTCCACCTTGGGCGCGTTCAGAACAAACGGCTCGGCGACAAACGGGTACGGTAGGTTCGCGTCGTGTCGACCAGCGGCGACCCCAGCGCGGGCGTTCAAGGTTGAACGCCGCCGGCGACCCAGAATCGGTCGATGTTGAACGATCGGACGTTGCGGAGACTGCCGATCGTTCAAGGTTGAACGATCCAGCGCGGTGTCAGGGACCAACGCCCAGGTCGACACGGCACGAACCTGCCGTACGGAAAACATAGGCACGACGCTGGCAGCGAGTCCTGTTCAGAATGGGCAAGAATTGCTGTTGGACTTTGTGCCCATTGTTTCCGTACCCCTTTCTGGTCCCCCCGAATAACGGGGGGGGGCAGGTTCAGGTTGGAGCCGTCTGAGGGTCTGAGGTGGCCCAGCACTGGTTCCGACCAGAAGGCAGGGCGAGCATGCTCGAGGATCTGGGTGCGAGAAGGTCTCTTGCCTTTTCTGGCCGCCGGGGGGGGCCGTTTCCCGGGCCATGAAAGCTGGATCCAGGGGAAAGACATCTACACCAGATGGACCCCGGAAGGGGTCCGGGGACCGATTTGTGATTGCATGTCGCTCCTCCTCCCTCCTGACCGCTTGTCTGAGGCCGCCTCCAGCTCAGACTCCTCGGCCGCCTCCGAGGCCCAGTGGGGGGGGGACGCATCGACGCCCTGAGCGCCCATGGATCTCGCCGATGGGGGCGGGAGCGCGGGTGCCGTCGGGGGCCTCTCGCCGACTTGTCGGCGGCGCATCGCCGCTTCCAGCTCCCCCTCATGAGCTTGATGGGCCCATTTTCCACCACCACTGCCATATGTAGGAGGAGGAGGAGGAGGAGGAGGAGGAGGAGGAGGAGGACATCCTCACCCTCCCCTCTCCCCCGTCCTGCGCATCGCAGTGGTGGTGGAACGCGTGCCCATCAGAGCTGGTCCCCCCCTCCTTGCCGCTGCCCCTCCAGGAGGGCACGCCGTGGCGGCCGGGGCACGCCGCGCAGGGCACCCGGGAGGGAGAAGGCGGGGCTTCGGCGCTGCAGTTCTTGCCCAACGGGCGTCGTCGCCGGGCTTCGGGCCCGGGGACCTTCACGGGCCGATGGGGCGCGAGAGCTGGCGCAGAGACACGGCGTCCAGCGTCAAGTCGGGCCTGTCCCTCTGCAGGGGGGTGATGTTCAAATACAGTCCCCAAAAGAGTCTGGGGACGCTGCCTTGACAACTTTTGACCATGTGGGGCGCATGCTTCTGCTATTTTCAACGTTTCTCCCAAAGCCCGCCTATAGGGGGACATGCCCGACCTAAGTCTAGGGCTCTGGTCGGCATATTTCGTGGTGTTGCAAGGGTTTCTTCAGCATCAGATCTCAGGGAACGGTGTTTGGGCGACTTCGTGGACCCTTCTGTTTTCGATACTGTCTTGCAGCAGTGGCCGAAGGAAGCAAAGAACGAGGTAAAACAAAAGCAACGCAAAAACGGGAAATATGGTATCGGCCGAGCCCGGGAAAGAGCATCAGTGACACGCTGTTGTTGGTAGCCCGTCAGCATGTTGTTCCTTCGTTCTTGTCCGACGCTAAAAAATGGGGTCGTTTGCGCCGACGTTGGCGCGTAAGCTGCCCGCGTAAGCCACCGCGTAAGGTCGCCATGCCACCTCGCGTAAGACCCGTGTTTGATCGTCGACCAGGTGTTGGGAGGAGGAGGACCAGGAAGAGGAGTAGGAGGAGGAGAAGGAGGGGGAGGAGGAGGAGGAGGAGGAGGAGGAGGAGAAGGAGGAGGAGGAGGAGGAGGAGGACCAGGAGGGAGGAGGAGGAGGAGGAGGAGGGGGAGGAGGAGGCGAGGAGGAGGAGGAGGAGGACGAGGAGGAGCACGAGGAAGAGCAATCACAGGCTGACGGGCTCCCAGCGGTGGCGCGCCATTGACATGTCGTGTGCTTGCTCCCCCCGAGGCACGGGCTCGCCCGAGAGTGCCTCCTCGCGCGGCAGCGGGCTGGACACGCCGGCCACGCTCCTCGAGGCCCAGGGGCGTCCTAACCACCACCACCACCACCACCACCACTACCATAGTTAGGACATGGGAGAAGGGAGGATGGGGAAGTCCTCCTCCTCATCCTCCTCCTGCTCCTGCTCATCCTCCTCCTCCTCCTCCTCCTCCTCCTCCTCCTCCTCCTGCTCCTGCTCCTCTCTCCTCCTCCCCTCTTTCCTCCTCCTGCTCCTCCTCCTCCTCCTCTTCCTCCTCCTCCTCCTCCTCCTCCTCCTCCTCCTCCTCCTCCTCGTCCTCCTGAAAAACATCACGACAGAAGTTTGTTTTACCATTTTCGGCCTCTGGGGGTCCCCTCGGGGCCCCGGGGACCGTCAACAAAAACATCCCGGAGGAAAACCTAATGTCAGGGGCGTCCTAACCCAGATCCCGTCGCATCGTGCAAAATAGCTCGACAGGATTGAGTCGGGCATGTCCATCTACAGGAGGAATGATACCGGAGAAATAACCCATCAAAGCCTTTGTAGGGCTATAAGGCGGTGGGGCTATGAGGCTATAGGGTTATGGAGCTATAGAGCTATAGGGCTATAGGACTACACGGCTATAGAGCCATAGGACTATGGGGCTATAGGGAGATTGGGCTATGGGGCTATAGGGCTAGAGGGCTACAGGCATATATAGAGCTATGGGGTTATAGGGATATAGGGCTGTAGCGCTACAGGGCAATTTCGCCAGTGGGTTACAAGGCTACAGGGCTATGGGGCCATTGGGCTATTGGACTATAGGGCTATAGAGCTATAAGGCTATAGAGCTAAAGGGCGATGGGGCTATAAGGCTATCATGCTACGGGGCTATAGGGCTGTAGGGCTATTGGGCTATGGGGCTATAGGACTATAATGCTATAGGGCTATAGGGCTACCGGGCACCCGGGCACCTGGGCACCTGGACACCCGGGCACCCGGGCACTTGGGCACCCGGGCACCCAGGTACCCGGGCACCAGGGCGGGCCGCGGAAATCGGCGGCAAAGCCCATCTAAGTATATGAATCCGCTAGGACCGCTACAGAGGCAAGCTCTGATTGGGGAATATTCCAAAATAGTCAAGAATGATACCCGAGAAAAACCTATCATAATCTTTTTAGGGCCATGGGCCATGGGCTGTAAGGCTATGGGGCTGTCGGGCTACAGGGCTATAGGACGATAGGGCTATAGGATGAAGCTATAGGGCGTTAGGGCTTTAGGGCTTCCGGGCTATAGAGCTATTAGGGCTATAGGGCTACAGGGCTATAGGGCTATAGGGCCACAGGACTAAAGGGCTATAACGCTATAGGGTTATAGGGCTATAGGGCTACCGGGCACCTGGGCAACCAGGCGGGCCGCCGAAATCGGCGACGCAGCTCCCAGGCATCCGGGCACCCGGGACCCCTACAGAGGCAAGCTCTGATTGGGAAATCCGAATATGTTTTGGGCTATTGGGCTACAAGGCTATAAGGCTATAGGGCTATAGAGCTACTGGGCTATAGGGTCATGGGGACATTAGGGCTAATTATAGGGCTACCCGGGCACCCAGGCACCCGGGCGTGCTGCCCAAATCGGCAGCGCATCTGACCTAACCATATGAAACCTTACTGAGGCGAGCTCTGATTGGGGGAATGGTCTGGGGACGAAGTTCCTCTCCTCCTCCCCATCCCCTTCCCACAGGAGCGCCGCCCTCTCTCCTCTCCTCTCCTCTCCTCTCCATTTCGGCACACCCCTCGCACGCTTCGTGGCCCCACAGGGAGCTCCACCGAAGGCCCCAATGGCTGCGTTCGCATGCGCCCACCGCACCCATTGCGGCACACCCCTCACACGTTTCGTGGCCCCACATGGAGCTCCACCGAACGCCCCAGTGGCTGCGTTCGCATGCGCCCACCGCACCCATTTCGGCACACCCCTCACACGTTTCGTGGCCCCACAGGGAGCTCCACCGAAGGCCCCAATGGCTCCGTTCGCATGCGCCCACCGCGCCCATTTCGGCACACCCCTCACACGTTTCGTGGCCCTACAGGGAGCTCCACCGAAGGCCACAATGGCTGCGTTCGCATGCGCCCACTGCACCCATGTCGGTACACTCCTCACACGTCTCGTGGCCCCATAGGGGGCTCCACCGAAGGCCCCAATGGCTGCGTTCGCACGCGCCCACCGCACCCACTTCGGCACACCCCTCACACGTTTCGTGGCCCCACAGGGAGCTCCACCGAAGGCCCCAGTGGCTGCGTTCGCGCCCATTTCGGCACACCCCTCACACGCTTCGTGGCCCTACAGGGAGCTCCACCGAAGGCCACAATTGCTGCGTTCGCATGCGCCCACCGCACCCATGTCGGCACACCCCTCACACGTTTCGTGGCCCCACAGGGAGCTCCACAGAAGGCCCCAGTGGCTGCGTTCGCATGCGCCCACCGCACCCACTCCGACACACCCCTCACACGTTTCGTGGCCCCACAGGGAGCTCCACCGAAGGCCCCAGTGGCTGCGTTCCAATGTGCCCACAGCACCAATGTCGGCACACCCCTTGCACGTTTCGTGGCCCCACAGGAAGCTCCACCGAAGGGCCCGGCACAGCCTTCATGCGTTTCGTGGCCCCTTAGGGATCGCTGCCGAAGAAGATATTCACACTTGCGGTACGCACGGCTGCATATGGTTGGGTCCTTCGCCAGGATAATTTGTTATCTTTCTTCCAAAATCCCCCATCAGGAGGACATGCCCGACCTAACGACAGGAGGTTTTTATCATTCTCGGCCTCTGGGCGTCCTCGCCGGGCCCCAGGGCCGTCCAAAAAAGCATTCGGGGCGAAAGCCCAGTCTTGGGAATGGGTCGAGCCTCTGGGGGTCGACGCTCGGAAAAGTTATGACGTCGGGGGTTTAGGAAGAGCGGCGTGAGGACAGGAGGGGGGGGGGCAGATGAGTTGTCCGCCATTTCCGCGGGAGCTAGCCTACTCATCCCGCGCAATCCAGCCAGCTAGTTGCGGCCGAGTTGCGGCCACGCTCATAGAACACGGCCTGGTACTGACTCTCGGCTGGGCTGGCACGCCACTCGCGCTGAGCAGGGTTATAGCCCCCTTGTGGGGGCAGCGGATCCGTCGGTGTCCGTTCCCGCTCCCTCCCCCAGAGATCCGATTTCGTGATTTTCTCAATGCGGGGCCCTTGGAAGTCTCGACTCCCCAGGACCGGTTTTCCATCCTGGGCCGTTTTTGGACGGTCCCGGGGCCTGGCGAGGTCCCCCAGAGGCCGACATGTGCGAAAAACCTTCGCTTGATTTGTTCAATGCGTTGGATCTCTGGGTTTCCCTCACGAGCCCGTTCGGCGTCTGCGACGACGCCGACGCCGACGCCGCCGCCGCCGCCGCCGACGACGACGACGACGACGACGAGGACGACGACGACGACGACGACGACGTTGGATTTCTGAGCCCATGGGCTCAGAAATCCAACGTGCACGTTGGATTTCTGAGCCCTCCTGGGGGGGGGGGGCAGGGGAAGGTTGCTCATCTCGGGGTGCTTTCCGCCAGCAGCAGCTGCGCCTCGCCGAGGGCTTCCCCGGGGGGGGCCGGGATCGCTTCGGAGACGGCCGCCAGGGGCTCGAGCGCTAAGGTTTCAAAACCAACAGGCGTCGAAGAAGGGGCCAGGACGGCCAGGATGGCCATGACCTGCAAAACGATCCAGAGATCCAGCGCATTGAAGAAATCAAGACAGAGGTTTTCCTCAAATTTCGGCCCCTAGGGGCCCTCGCCGGGCCCCGGGAACGTCAAAAAACGACTCGGGATGAAAAATCGGTCCTGGGGAATGGGTCGAGACTTCTGGGGACCCCGTATTGAAAAAATCACGACGTCAGATCTCTGAGGATCCAACATGCCCTCCAAAGCGGCCAAGATGGCCAAGTATAGCCCCAGGGCGACCCGAAGAGGCCCCCGAACAAAGGGACAGTCCTCGCGCCGCTGTTTGGGGAGCTGTCCAGGAGCTAAGGGCTGGGAATGTGTTTGCGTGTGTGTGTTTTGTGTGTTGTGTGTGTGTGTGTTGTGTTTGTTGTGCGTTGTGTGTTGCGTGTGCTGTGTTTGTGTTGTGTGTTGTGTGTAATGTGTGTGTTGTATGTGTTGTGTGCTGTGTGTGTTGTGTGTCGTGTGTGTTGGTTGTGTGTGTTGGTTGTGTGTTATCTATGATGTATGTATTGTGTGTTATGTGTGTGTGCGTGTGCGTGTGCGTTGGCGTGTGCGTGTGCGTGTGTGCGTGTGTGAAAGGTGTGTGGTGTGTGGTGTGTGGTATGGTGTGTGGTGTGCGGTGTGTGGTGTGTAGTGTGTGGTGTGCGGTGTGTGATGTGTGGTGTGTGGTGTGTGGTGTGTGGTGTGTGGTGTGCGGTGTGTGGTGTGCGGTGTGTGGTGTGTGGTGTGTGTCTGTGTGGTGTGTGGTGTGTGTGTGTGTGTTTGTGTGTTTGTGTGGTGTGTCTGTGTGTCTGTGTGTGTGTCAAGCTAGACAGGTCGAGCGAGCCGTAGGGCCACGCCCATTCCCGCACTCCTTCCCACAGTATGAGACTCCAGCGTGGCACAACTTGGTACACGCCAGTCGTTGACAGCAGGTATTATTGGGCTCCCAGATCCCAATCTACTTCAAGCGCCTTCCTGCTTCAAGAGATATCCTTCTGCTGTGTTGCGCTATTCTCTGGGATGGCCTGAGCCCAATACACTTGATCCGCCTTCCTTCATGCTTCTGCCTACTTCTTCCGACCGACCTCTATTGGGACTGGAGCACGTTCCCACCTCGCAAGACGGAAGGCGCTCGCGCACGGCCCCGCTTCCGACGATTTGGCGAAGGGAAAGCTATTACGCATGCCACGCAGTGGCGGGAGTGGCAAACCTTACGAGGGGCGTGTCATCGTGCGGACTTGCATTTTGTCTCGGCGAGGACCATCGAGGCGCATCCTTGATCACTTAGCAAGAAAAGCACGCACGAAACCGAAACATGCACGGGTAATGGACGTCCGAGCGATGGCGAGTGGGCGTGGCGGAGACGAAGCATGCGCCGCGCTGACACAGCACTGCCACTCTCACTCACAGAATACTGCGCGATGATTGGGCGAGTTTGTCGTTTTGCCTCGCGCGGCCCCGCTGCCGCTGTCGGTTTCATGCGATTCGGCGAACGAACGAACCCGGACCATGCGCCCGCGCCCGCGCGGGACCGCCACTTCGGAACGAAATGCGCACGGAGCTTCGGAGAGCGCGACAAGTCGCCCGCCCGCGCGGGCCCGCCACAACCGGCGAGAGAAAATCAGCCTGGCAAAGGACCCAACCAGATGCAGTTGTGGGCGCCGCAGTTGTGAGTATCGTCTTCGGTGGAGCTTCCTAGTGGGCCGCGAAACGTGTGAGGGGTGTGCCAAGAAGGGGGTGGAACCTCATGCAAACTTTGCCACTGGGACATCAGGTGGAGCTCCATATGGGGCCACGAACCGTGTGAGGAATGAGGTGGAAACGCATGCAAACTTTGCCACTAGAGCCTTCGGTGGAGCTCCTGATGGGGCCACGAAACGTGTGAGGGGTGTGTCAAAAATGGGGTGGAACCGCATGCGAACTTTGCCACTGGGGCCTTCGGTGTGGGGCCACGAACCGTGTGAGGGGTGTGCCGAAATGGGGGTGGAACCGCATGCGAACTTTGCCACTGGGGCCAACGGTGGAGCTCCCTATGGGGCCACGAGCCGTGTGAGGGGTGCGCCAAAATTTGGGTGGAACCGCATGCGAACTTTGCCTTTGGGGCCTTCGGTGAAGCTCCCTATGGGGCCACGAAACGTGTGAGGGGTGTGCCGAAGTGGGTGCGGTGGGCGCATGCGAACGCAGCCACTGAGGCCTGCGGTGGAGCTCAAACGGAGACATGCGGAGGACGGAGGTACGGAGGCGGAGGAGGAGGGGGAGGAGGAGGGGAGGAGGAGGAGGAGGAGGAGAACGCGGGGCGCTGTTTTTTTTTTTTCGGAACGAGGACTCAGCACCACAGGGCGGTGGGGAACGGTGCGCCGCGCCGAGGAAGCGGCGCCGTGCTCTGGCGAGGCCCGCGCGGTGCCGGGGCGAGAGCCACACGTTCGCCCCGCTCGCGCGTCGACGAAGCGGCGTGCCAAGAGTGTGCTGCTACCACGACTACTACTACTACTACTACTACTACTACTACTACTACTACTACTACTACTACTACTACTACTACTACTACTACTACTACTCCTACTACTACGACTACGACTACGACTACGGCTACGACTACGACTACGACTACTACTACTACTACTACTACTACTTACTATCTACTCGGACGTCGACGGCTATACTTTCTATACTACTTACTATACTTCACTACTACCTACGATTCGACTACGGACTATACTACTACTACTACTACAACTACTACTACTACTACTACTACGACTACTACTACTACTACTACTACTACTACTACTACTACTACTACTACTACTACTACTACGACTACTACGACTACGACTACGACTACGACTACGACTGCGACTGCGACTGCGACTGCGACTGCGACTACGACGACGAGGCCCGCTCCCTTCCCGCCACGCATGTCGCCACATGGACGACAGAATGTCCATGCTGAAAGCGAGAATGCCGATGTCCAGTATCGTTAAAACCAACCCCCCTTCCCATCCTCCTCCCCTTCGAGACCCCCACCAAATGGGCACCCCGGTTGGGGATACACCCCTCGAAACCCGAAGGGAACGGCCTATATCCCCATTTGGGGGGGTAAATCGGCCAGTGGGGCCCAGGCCGCGCCGCTGGGGATGGGGGTCGGATAAACGATGCTCCGATGTTGCGCTGCTGTGTCTCACAGGCAGGATGGGAGGTCCTGTATTGGGCGGCTCTCGGCTACTTGACTGGCAGAGCAGGAGGGCATACGAAAAGGGCACACGGGGTGTGGATATCCCAGCCGGGGCCGCGGATTCTCCCAGATCCCAAGGCCCCCTCTTCGTACTGCGCGCATTCTTCTCTCAGCAAGTCCCCATCCCCCCCCCCCCCGAACGTCCGCGCGCATGCCCCGTGCCATGATGCGAGAGCCCCCCTTCCCTGAGATCCAACGCTGCGGGAAAAAAGAAACCGGGAGGTACTCAACCCGCTGGAAACAGGTGGCGGTTGAACCCAGGACCCCTTATTTACAAAGGAACGCACGTTGAAGGACCCACTGTGCGCAGGAGCATCCAGAAGTGAAATCAGCCGGTCTGGGGCTGATCGAGCCGCGAGGTCTCGGCTGGGTCCCCGTGCAACTCCACTCCGCTGGACGTCCCAGGAGCCCACGAAAGTGGCGACAGTTGCGCAGTTCGCAGGCCCCCCCCCAGTGAGCCGCGAGGTCTCTGTCGGGCCCCCGTACTCCTCCATTCTGCTGGGCCTCCCAGGAGCCTACGAAAGTGGCGACGGTTGCGCAGTTCGCAGCCACCCAGGGAGCCGCGAGGGCTCGGCTGGATCCCCGTACAACGCGCAGTTCGCAGCCCCCAGTAAGCCGCGAGGTCTCGGCTGCGCCCCGTACAACTCTGCTCCACTGTACCTCCCAGGAGCCCACGAAAGTGAAGACAGTTGCGCAGTTCGCAGCCACCCAGGAAGATGCGAGATCTCAACTGAGTCCGCGAACAACTCCATTGCGCTGGACCTCCCCTGACCCCACGAAAGTGGCGACAGTTGCGCGTTTCGCACCCCCCCCAGAGAGTCGCGAGGTCTCGAGTGGGTCCTTGTACAACTCCATTGCGCTGGACCTCCCAGGAGCTCACGTAAGTGGCGACAGTTCCGCAGTCCGCAGCCCCCAGGGAGCCGCGAGGTCTCGGCTGGATCCCCGTACAACCCCACTCCGCTGGACCTCCCAGGAGCCCACGAAAGTGGCGACAGTTGCTCAGTTCGCGGCTCCCCAGGGAGCCGCGAGGTCTCTGTCGGGCCCCCGTACAACTCAATCGCGCTGGACGTCCCAGGAGTCCACGAAAGCGGCGACAGTTGCCAAATTCGCAGCCCCCCAGTGAGCCGCGAGGTCTCGGCTGGGTCCCCGTACAGCACCACTCCGCTGGACTTCCCAGAAGCAAACGAAAGTAACGACAATTACGCGGTTCGCAGCTCCCCAGGGAGCCGCGAGGTCTCGATTGGGTCCCCGTGCGACTCCATTTCGCTGGACGCCCCAGGACCCCACGAAAGTGGCGACAGTTGTGCGCTTCGCAGCTCCCCAGGGAGCCGCGAAGTTTCGAGTGGGTCCTTATACAATTCCCAATGCGCTGGACGTCCCAGGAGCCCACGAAAGCGGCGGCAGGTCCGCAGTTCGCAGCCCCCAGGGAGCTTCGAGGTCTCGGCTGGATCCCCGTACAACTCCAGTGCGCTGAACGTCCCAGGAGCCCATGAAAGTGACGACAGTTGCACGGTTCGCAGCCCCCCAGAGAGCCGCGAGGTCTCCGCTGGATCCCCGTACAACTCCATTGCGCTGGACCTCCCAGGAGCCCACGACAGAGGCGACAGTTGCGAAATTCGCAGCCACTCAGGGAGCCGCGAGGTCTCGATTGGGTCCGTGTACAACTCCACTCCGCTGGACCTCCCAGGAGCCCACGAAAGTGGCGACACTTGCGCGGTTCGCGGCCCCCAGGGGAAGAACCAGAACGAGAAGGACGAGGAGGACGAGGAGGGGGGAAAAAGGCAGCAGGCAGGAAGAGGGTGGCGGGAGGAAGGACCATCGCACAAGCAGCGCTCCATTCAGCCACCCAGGCAGCGCAAGCAGGAGGAAGGCGAGAAGGGAGGAGGAGGAAGAGGAGGAGGGAGGAGGGAGGAGGGAGGAGGGAGGAGGGGGAGAGGAAGGAGAAGGTTGGAGACCACAGCGCTCTGGTCAAAACGAGAACCCAGCACAGGAGGGTTGGGAATACCAGAGATCGCGACTGGAGCCCCGGACCTCCTCTTTCTGCGGCAGCTCTCGAGCCCGGAGAGGCCCCGAGGCCCGAGGCATGGCGAGCCCGCCGGATGCGAAGAAGCTGCTGCGCCAGGATCCGAGGGGGCCCCTCCGTGGAGCGACGGCAAGCAAGGGGGGCCTGCTGACGCTCGATGGCATGGCGACCCTGCGGGGCTGGCTCGCGCGGGCCACGAGCGCGGCGCGCCACATTGGAAACGAGGGCGCCCACGCGCCGTCTTGCGCGGGCCACTTCCGCGCGCGCGTGTCCGCGCAGTCGACCCCCGTTCGGCCGCATCCCGGAGGCCCCCCGGCGACTCGGCCCCGCCGGTGAGGCGGCCGCTGGCTCGCTGGCCGCTGCGCGGGACCGCTTCAAGGTCTCCGTGAACGCCACGGCCCGCAGCAGCGAGTTCCAGAGGCGAGCCAGCCACAATCGGGTCGTGCTCCCTGCCGCCCCAGACCCCCTCCTCCTCCCCCTCCTCTCCCTCTCCCTCCTACCCCTCCCCCTCCCCTCCCCCTCCCCCTCCCCCTCCCCCTCCCTCACCTCCTCCTCCTCCTCCTCCTCCTCCTCCTCCTCCTCCTCCTCCTCCTCCTCCTCCTCCTCCTCCTCCTCCTCCTCCTCCTCCTCCTCCTCCTCCTCCTCTCTCCTCCTCCTCCTCCTCCTCCTCCTCCTCCTCCTCCTCCTCCTCCTCCTCCTGGTGGGGGGGCACGACGCGTGCTCCCCCCCACCCAACAAGTTGTTCCAAAGCTGCCTCTCCTCCTCGTCCTGGACGGAGATCTGGCCCCGGGGAACGGGTCGAGACCTCCCGGGGATCCACGCTGTGGAAAAACATGACGTCGCGGGTCTGGGCACTCTGGTGGCACGCAGAAGTGGCCCTTCGTTAGAGTGGCCCTTGGTGCGCGCCGTTCGGGCCGAGCAGGCAGGCCGTTGCTGTCGCATCGCACGCAGCGATCGGCGAGCCGCGCACCAAAGAGCACCCCTGCCCAGAGTCACATATCTTGCGCGTGGCCGATGTGGGCCCCCTGGGGGGCCGATCGGCGTCGGCACCCCTCTCGAGAGGCCGTCGATCTGGTCCATGCCCCGGGGGGCAGGAGGAGGAGGAGGAGGAGGAGGAGGAGGAGGAGGAGGAGGAGGAGGAGGAGGAGGAGGAGTAGGAGGGGGAGGGGGAGGGAGAGGAGGGGGAGGAAGAGGAGCACAACTCTCCCTGTGGCGTCGGGCGGGCCCAGGACCCAGAGCGCTCTAGAACGCCCTCGGAGCGCTCCGGAACGGCTGCGGCGCCCGACGCATCCTCCTCCAGAACCGCCGGAGCTCGGAAGTCCCCGATGCGTCCTGGTCCGATTTTGGCCTGGCCTTGGCCTCGCCTGATTGTGGCTGGCCAGCGAGGACGAAGCTTCTCGAATTGGATGCCATCAACAATTCACCGACACAGTGCAAGGACTTGGCGTGGACGTCGGACCTGTCGCGGGTGCCAGGCCTGCCACCACAGAGTCCGCCGTGGGCAGCAGCAGCAGCGCAGGGGCGCGACCAGCTGCACTCGCCTGTCAGCGACGATCCCCGGGCGCATCTGGAGAGGGGGGGTCTCTCTGGGCCCGTTGCTTTCAAGGTGCGGTTCGCGCTCTGGCGCCGCGCACATTACTATACAAGTGCCCAGGAGGGAGGGCAAATGATTTTCAAATTGTGGCTCTCGATTACAGTCAACGCGCCTGTAGTAATGACGCGCGCCTTCATCTAGGGTGCCCTTGTGTCCTTGCCTCTGCGGCCCGCCCTTTGCCGTTCTCACTGGTCCCCCGTCGCCCAAAGAATCCAAATTTCGGCCTCCAAGGGTCTTGCGTCTTTACCACGCGTCCTCCCAGGAGGCAGGAAGCAGGAGGCAGGAGGGGGAGGATGAGGAGGAGGCAGGAGGTGGAGGAAGAAGGAGGATACTCGACCACAGTGCTCGATTGGGAAAGATCCCACTTGCAGCCTCCAAGGGTCTCGCGTCCTCAGCACCCGCTCTCAGTACACGGTTTGATCGTAAGCGCTGCGCAGGCTCCAGCGTCCAGCAGTTGTACGGATGGCGAGGGTGGCTCCTTCTCTCGAGACGGGGCTCTCGCTCGAGATTTTTTGTCTAAACTTCTGGCCGGTGGCTTCTTCGGAGGAAAAAACCCACAGACACGAGTAAACGTCGATTCCCAGGAAAATGTTGGAAAACATGGGAAGCGGGTGGGAAGACGACAGCCCAGAAAGCATTTGGAAAAGTATTGGGAATCCTGGGATGTGTGTCCATTTGTTTGCGTGCCCCTGGTCCCCTTCAGTTTGAACATGTACCAGAGGTGCACAGCTGAACGACGCGTTATTCTCAAGATTAGGGTCTCACTTGATGTCGCCTCTCAGGTTTCGACCTGGCGGCAGCAGACCCCAAACAGCAGAACTAAAGAGTAAATGGAGCGTCGTAGTGGCCTCCAGTCTGCGCCGCCAATCCCAGGCGCCCTCCTCCTCCTCCTCCTCCTCCTCCTCCTCCTCCTCCTCCTCCTCCTCCCCTCCTCCTCCTCCTCCTCCTCCTCCTCCTCCTCCTCCTCCTCCTCCTCATCCTCCTCCTCCTCCTCCTCCTCCTCCTCCTCCTCCTCCTCCTCCTCCTCCTCCTCCTCCTCCTCCTCCTCCTCCTCCTCCTCCTCCTCCTCCTCCTCCCGTGTGCTGCAGGCCCGCCACCGCGTTTGGCTGGCCGACGTGATTTTACATGCTTTTGTGGTTTTCGGGGGCCTTGAGAGAGGAGGAGGAGGACGAGGAGGAGGAGGAGGAGGAGGAGGAGGAGGAGGAGGAGATGCCAGGAGGAGGGAGGATGAGAAAGGAGGAGGAGGTGGAGGAGGGAGTTGGAGGAGGAGGGCTTGGAGGCGAAGAGGCTTGCTCTCGTCGGGGCAATGCAGACGGGGGTCAGTCAGAGCGCAGGATTCTGCAGGATCCTGTAGGGCCAGGGGTGCATTAACCAGGGCTTGGGTGCAGGATCCTGCAGGATCTTGCAGGATCCTGCAAGCCCGACTGGCCCGGATTCGGATTGACCCCGGTCAGCAGGTCCCCGAGGTTTGCGGTCTGGTTGTGGAGCAGTGCTTTGGGCTGGTTCGGTGGTTGGGGTGGGTGGGTCGCCTGTTGGCCGTCTAGTTGGCCGCTTGCTGCCCGGTTGCTTGGCATGTTGGGCTGTGTTGCGCCTTCGGGGGCATCGGGTAAGAATATAATGTCTCGGGCGTATCATTGCGAGGTTCCGTGGACATTTGCAGCCGTCTTTGGGCGGTCCGTGGGCCTATCCGGGGCCCGTAAGAAGGCATGCGC